CCCCCACTCCCAAGAAAATAAAGCAAACGTTCCCAGCTGACCAACCGGCCGGCGTTCCAAAAAGATCGTCGCAGTTATACCAGCGACGAATCAAAGCGATCGAGTCATCGAGCGCAGATACAGGTATGTATATATATATGTATATACATGTATATATATAATACCGGAAAACCATCCAGCCACGTTTACCAGGATTTCTACACAGAGTGGACACAGAGCATTTTCCAGATAGAAGTACACTAGCGTACTCAGAATGCAGGAGAGAGAGAGACACACGCACAGATAAATATATGTATACATATTACACAGAGAGATAGAGAGACGCGAGCGAGCGAGCGAGAGCGCGCGCGCGCGCACACACGCACACAGAGATAGAGAGAGAGAGAGAGAGAGAGAGAAAGAGAAAAGATAGAGAGAGACACAAAGTGAAGGCGGAAGACAGTAAACACTAGATATCGTTAGGGTGTGGCAGACGGTCAGAGGTGTGTTCTGCGTGACTGTATCTGTCTGTGTGTGCGCGTGTGTGTATGTGTGTGTGAGTAGACGTTCGAGACGCGAGTCGCGCAACAGGTTGACAAAGGGCGCCGAAACGTTCGCGCCGGATGCATTGTTCTCTCTCTACCGCGGGGGATGAACACGATTTATATCGATCGCGACAGGATTTTTGCAATAAAAAAAGAACGACAGAAAAATAAATCGAAGCGAGAAGAATCTCGTGAGTCGTTTGCGGGGCACTCGAGATCGAAGGCTCGTTCACTCATCGATCGCCCAGCCCTCGAATTAATTACTGTTTTTTACCTGCGCCGGAAGTCTCTGTGTGAAACGTGTTTGCGGAGGTTGTACGGGTTCCGTTTCGAGGAGGATTTTCATAAATGTATCGGTTTCGGTTGTTTTGTGCTGTGTGTCGATACGAATATACCGCTTGCACAGTTGGCTAAGAGGAACCCGTGAAACAAACAACACTTGTAACCAACCCCTCGTCGCCGTCCGATGTTCTTGGAATTCGTTAATCGCCGCAACAAACGAGTCGATCGTAGCAGTTTCGTTCGATGAACACAGGAATTCCGAGTGCAAAGAGACTGTCCTGTTATTTCTGTCGCAGACAGTGCACGTGTCATCGTCGTCGCGAATCTTCGTGATCAAAGTTCATTGCAGCGCAGAAAAGGTAATCGAGTCAAATCTCTCCTTCTGTCGATTCTAGCAAGTTGGAGAAAGTGTAGCAATTCGTTTTAAGGTTCTTTCTCTCGTAAAAGTTCTTGGAATTCGTTAATCGCCGCAACAAACGCGTCGATCGTAGCAGTTTCGTTCGACGAACACAGGAATTCCGAGTGCAAAGAGACTGTCCTGTTATTTCTGTCGCAGACAGTGCACGTGTCATCGTCGTCGCGAATCTTCGTGATCAAAGTTCATTGCAGCGCAGAAAAGATAATCGAGTCAAATCTCTCCTTCCATCGATTCTAACAAGTTGGCGAAAGTGTAGCAATTTTTTTCAAGGTTCTTTCTTTCACAAATGTTCAGCAAGTTCCGCAGTCTACGCGGATCGCAAGAGTATCGTGTTGATTTCCCAATCCCTCGATCCGTCGTTCGAAGAATCTAGCGAATCGGTCGGGCTGGCAGCAACCGATGGCTCTCGAATAATTAATAATCGAACCTCTCGAATTAATAGCCGTACGCTTCTTCCAGTGGCAGTGTCAATGAAACGTGTCCGCGTGGTTGTACAAGTGTGGATTCGCGAGGGAGAAGAGGATCCGGCGCAACCGCTAGCCAGCGAGCGCGACCGTGTTCGACTTTTCTTTTCCGTTTTCGAAACTTGGTTCCAGGTTTGCGCGTACTCGACGGTCGATTAACGAAACCCGGGCGGATCGGGGCAGCTGTCCTGGTCTACTTCGCGCGGAGTAAACATGTTCGGTGGGGAC